ATCCATCCATCCATCCATCCATCCATCCATCCATCCATCCATCCATCCATCCATCCATCCATCCATCGTAAAAGGCAGAGTCAAGTCTCCTGACTTGGAAAAGTGCTATATATTGTAAAACATCTCCAAGGAACATGAATGCTTTTTCAAGGCATAATAAAAAATATTTGATTTATTGAAACATTACAATATATGACTGACAACTTTTTCTATTTGGGATTTACTTTTATGTATTTTTACATTTTTTTAGGCAACAATGTGGTTGTGACGGGCGGCTACTTCAGGGATGTGCTGTGGTTCAGTGTGGACTGGGTCAAGATATACGACTGTGAAAATGAGCGCTGGCTGGATGGCCCTGCCATGCAGAAGTCCAGACACAGTCACTGCTCCATCGGGCTGGATTCAACTCTGTACGTCCTGGGTGGGAGTATGGACGAAGGGCTGGTGGCTGATGTAGAGAGGTTAATCCTGGGGTCAGAGGAGGGGTGGGAGGGGCTGAGCCCCATGGCCAGAGCAGTGGAGAGGGCGGCCACTGCTGCTCTGGGAATGTGTATTTATGTTGCATGTGGTCTAGATGAAAATGGAGATGTCTATGCAGGAATTCAGAGATACATGGTGAAGGAGGATCAGTGGGATGTGGTCTCCTATTCTCCATTTCCACGGTAAGAATAACTCCTCATTTTATCTCATCTAAATTGATCAAAGAAAAAAACAAGGATTTGAAACATAAAAGAAAAGTGTTTTAATTACATTTTTTGAAATTCCTTAAAGGTATGACCTGGTTGCCACTGAGCTCAATGGTGCCCTCTACCTATTTGGAGGCCAATCACTGCGCTTTGATGTAGAGACTGATGAATGGACGGTGCTTAATGAGGAATGTTTGGACGGAAAGTTTTTTTGTGGTTGCACCAACATCAGTGGCCAGATCTACCTGGTCAGTGAGAGGAAAAGTAACAAAGCATTCCCAAACATGGTGCTATTGGACCCATACATAGATACCTGCATTCAGACAGACGATGCCATTCCCTGTCCAATGCCCCTTAGAGGATGTGTCACCATTAGGATGGTCACATAATTTGACCATGCAATGAAGTTTTTTCCCTTCCCTTAAACTGAACCCAAAGTACCTTAAATGGATGTGTCTCTGCCAAAAAGTGCAGCTTAGATTTTCATCTGATAGCCCCCAAAAAAAACAGCTAAAAAATGTGAAAGAGAAATTATATATGATTTCAAAGCTGAAGAAACTGGAAAAGTTTTTTATTTTATTTAGCTCAGTGAATTTAATCTAGGAAAATGTCTGTTTTTTTATTTATTTATAACCACATCAATAAAAAAAAGCTGATTTCACAGCTAAATTGTTAAATATGGATCATTTATTTATTAAGCTTTTCAACAAGTCACACAGTGAATAAAATATCCATGTGCACAACAGAACAGTCAACTGTAACAGCTTTATAAAGGTATTAAAACAATAATTTAATGTCTAATAGGATCTAAACATATGTATGTCATTAAATAAATCAGCCCTTTTTATTTGAACCCCTCCTGATATTTACACTCCATTTAAAACCTGTATATACAGTAGCAAGAAAGATGTGCTGTCGGCACAGTGAAGGCAATCTTCAGAGAGCTTGTCTGCAGCAGAGGGGACACTGGCCTGCATAACTTATTGGATAAAATAATGCTTTGTTCTTTCAATCAGCAACTATTATCAAATATGCCACCCATAATAAAAAAATTCACCTTTTTTTCGCATATAAATGCGTCTGTGATGCAATTTTTATGCCGTACTCCAGACATATTGACCAGTAGTATCACTCACATTAGCATTTTTCTCACATGTTTGCCCAGTAAAGGTAAAGGATTTAGGATAAAGTGTTGATTCACAAATTTAGCACACATTTCTGGTTTCTTAAGCTAAAGGAACACTAACTTATGGGATAAAAAAAACATGCCAGTAGCTCAAAATGGAACAGCAAAACCAAAGGTTGGTTCTTACTACGTTGGAAAACAAATAAATACGAGTATCAGTCAAGTAAACATCTGTAGAAGCAGTACAATTTTTGTGAAGTATCATACAGTCAGAAAAAAAGCCCTACTATAAAGAAGTATGTGTTCTTTTTTGGACACCAGGGGGCGCACTATGTCTGCCCAACAAATAGAAACATGGAAGTAACTCAAAGGTTAATAATTAACTAATAATTAATTTCAGAACTGCTATGGACCTTAGGTGGTTTATAAACATGATCATTGTTTTATATCAAGTATGTACAATAAGATATGAGTTAATGTGTGAAATAAAATGTATGTATTTATTTTGTTTTAATATATACAGCCATGGCAAAAAAAAAAAGACCACTTTTGTTTTTTTCCATTTTTTTTTTGTTTGTTGTTGTTCTTAAGGCATAGTTCCTGAACAATACAATGAACAAAACAGAAGGGTGGTCTAATAATTTTTCCATGACTGTATATCACATATATTACACAATGATTAGATTTAGAGTGCTTCAAATGAGGAAAAAAATAGAGACTGTCTTTCTTAAGATATGTAGAAAGAAATCGCCACAATAATATGGATAAATACAAATAAATAAAAACCTAGTACACACTATGAATAGAAGTGAAATACATCTTATGATTTCCTTGTTCAATGTGATTTATTAGCTGTTTGATTCTGCTTCCTGTACTTCTTGGACTGGTTTTAATGTTCTACAATCATATGTGTTTTGATGCTCTATTTTTGTATGAAACGAAGGATTCAGACCTACCCTGATCTGAAACTGTCAATGTACTTTGCTAGATGCAAACACACACAAAAAAGGAAAACATTTATCTCCAGTGAGGAGAGATAGAGGAGATCCCATTATCTGGCCTTACGCAGTCTGCTGTTTAAATTCCTCTGGTTGGTCAGGTTGTTTAAGACACAGTTGTTGGCCAGAGATGTCCGTTTGGAGTTGATTGTCTCCTTCCTTTCCGCAGAGTTGCGCTCACCCTCAGGTTCCTCTTCTTGTTCATCCCCCTCACTCTCCTCATCGCTTCGCACATCTCGCTCCACCTGCTCTCAAAAAGTCACAGGTTATCAATCTTTCCCTGTCAATTATCTCCATCGTGTTGCTGATTTAACTGCACTCACCACTCCTTTGAAGACAAACTTGTAGACCATGCGCAGAATGAGGTATGCCCAGAAGATATGCAGAGCTTGCAGCACTAACAGCAGTACGTTGAAGAAATAATAACCAAAGAAAGGCTCAAAGAACTCCATGGATACCACCATTGTGGTGTGGACAATTCTGGAAAAAAGTGGGACAGAAGTGGTGACTTGCAGCCAGTTTGACATTGTCTCACTCTTACAAGCAAAGAATAAAGATCTGGATTATTTTGTTTTACAGTTTTATAGTTTAGTTTTAGTTTAACCCTCTATGCCTATTATTATAGATACCAAAATCCCCATATTTTCTTTTTTTGTTTTGTTTGTTTTTTGTGTCCTCTTTTGCCAATATAGCTCTGGGAATAGATCTCCCAGAGCTGGATGATACTCCAGCAGCTTTGCTTTCACAAGCACACCAATATCACCTTTGCCATAAGGTTCAACTTGATACTTGTATATTAAACTTCATTGACATTTATTTAAGTAGTAAATTTGTTTACAATGGAAACAGAGATGGAAAGGGGGGTGAGAAAAAAAGAGGGGATAAGAACTAAGGGGGGAAAGAGAGAGAGAGACAGGATAGAGTGCATGAAAAGATAAAATGAAACAAAACAGCAAAAATAGACAACAGAAGATATACAGTACACCTAGAAGTCTGCTTCCACACCTGCATGAGATGAGAGGGACAGAGTACAGAGAAAATAACAACAGCAAATAGACAACAAAGTAAATACAAAAAAAGTTTCAAGAGTAGCAGGTATCCTTTAGATATCCATGCGTGTCCGATTCAAAACCTATGGTGATTACAAAATAGTATTTCGTATTAGTGTGTAGCCGTGAACACCTGGAACCAAACTCCTGTGCTATGTATGCATGGTCATGCTCATTTATAAAGGATTCACAAAAGCTTCTTCAGAAGGACAATATGCTCAATAGCAGGTGTGAGCGGCATCAGACTCGCCCTACTGGAACCAAAGAGGTGATGCAAGCCCCATTATCCAGAGGCACCCCAGATCACTGGGACACAAGTAGAGCAGACATTACAAAATCCTTAAAATACGTTTACTTAGGCTCACACTTAAAATTGTAGAAGGTCTAAGCTGGGAGAGTGTTGGCCTAGTGGTTAGAGCAGTGCGCTTGTTCTATGAGAAGGGTGCAAGTAGCCGGTTCGATCCACACAGGCTGAAATCTGGGTCTCTTAGCAATACCCTTTACCCCAAACTGCTCCCCAAGGGGATGGGTTAAATACAGCGATACATTTTCCCAATGTGAGATCAATAAAGTTAAATTACATTATTATTATTATAAACCCCCAAATAGACCACATTAGGATATAATTGCTAATGAATTGCTTTAAACTAAATGAGACTTATTGTTACTCCTGCTTGTTATATTTTGTACAGCTAATGAAAGAAGGTTTACCTTATGAATTTAAACCATCATTGTAATGATTTATCAAGATTTTCCAGATTAATAAGATTAAAAAATACCTAATTTTCAGTTTTCTATAGATGCATTCTGTATTTATTTTTTGGTTTTCTTAAATATTTGATGAAATATTTGATGATGTGAAATCCAATGTGGCCTTTTATAGGAGACACAGCATGGCAGATCTTACACTATACATGTGCAGCTTTTTGTCAGGTGGGAAGTTAACATATTTGGTACATTGGAACCTTACCTGCAAGGAAACACCACAAGTCTTGTAACCAGGAAGACCACAGCAAATATGACAAACAGTGAATCGCATATCCTGGTCATCACGGCGTAGTGTAACATCTTGGCAGACTAAGACACAAAAGGGGAAAAAATATGCATTCTTACATATTTGTTCCAAGGAAAGTCCTAAAAGACATGATTATCATGGTTTTCATTTTCATATACATTTCTTTTTAAGTAAATAAAGGCACAGAGGCTTGTTGAAAGAAGTAAAGAAGAAACCTTGCTGTTAAGGTGACAGGACTACTTTAAAGCTGAGCCTGGTGCAACATTCTGCCACCAGTGGGCAAAAAATAATTTGTTTATGACACAGTATTTTGGTTTGCAAATGGGTACATTTGAAGTTAGAGAAGTGAAAAGTTGGTCAGGGAGCTCAGTGAAAGCAGTGCTCTTCATAACATCACATTAAAAAACAGGTATACCACAGTGAAGGTTTACCCATGAGAGCACATTGAGCCCAGCGGTACTGAGTATCAGTAAATTTAGTGCTGATCAAAGCAGAAAGACTTGAGAAACTGTAGGATTCAGAATTTTCTGGATTTCTGCTTGGCATTTCATGCTTTGGATCATCTTGGTAGTTTACAGCTTCTGCAGAACTGGGTGAACTCCTCTGGCCTGGCATTTGAAGATGCTCTTTGTTTGTGCCATCTCAGATATTTTTGGCACATTCATAAGTGGTTTCTATTCTTTCTCTCTTTCACTTGCTACAGATGAAATACAGAATCAAATTAATTCGAATGAGACCCAACTTTATCTTCCATGCAAACCAGAATTCTAGGTTCCATAATGTTAGACTGCATAGAGTAAGATAAGGAAAGTCCATCTCCCATAGTAGCACTGACTGTAGCTCAAAGGGATGAAAAGTAATCTTGCAATGTGGGTTTGCACCCAGCCTATGCCTGTTCCTCTCAACCCTAAGCTGTGCATGGTTGCTTGAAAATAAATGGCGAATAGATGAAAAAACATAAACCTTTCTCTGCAGACAAAGCCCTAGGACATCAGGACACTGATTCAAATGGTTTGTAAGGGAAGTTCTTAGATTTACCACAAGTTTGAAAGCTGAAAAGAAAACTGGCAATCACTGCTGTAAGTGTTGCCAGATATCCAAGCCTTTGCTTCCTAGCAATGCTTCTGCACTTCCCCTTGGCTCAGCTGTAGAAAAATCAGTCACCAACAGGAGGGAAGCTGATCCTGAATCGTTTACAAAAACTGTTCCTGCTAAGTTCTTTTCAAATGCAGATGCCTATGTACCTCCTTCAAACTCATTTCAATGCCAACCAGTTAAAAAGAGGAGAAACTGAACAAAACAGGCAGATGAAGAGAGAAAAAATTCAATATTAGAAATTAGTTACTGCAATTAAGTATATTCAGAGAACTGTTAATTAGCAGTGAAGCATGGCTGCATTACTCTATCCTCCAAACTAAATGTTTTGTCGTTTCGTTATATTAGGAACTAAACGGATGCAGCTTTTAGACCATCCCAGATTTAACTATTTTTGACCTGTGTTGTAAATAAAATGTCATAATTATGGAGATGTTCAAGTGGGATGTTCAATTACACACTATTTGAAAAACATGTTTGATTACTGCTGTTGTACCTGAGGATGAAAGTTGATATAAAAAAAAAAACAACATAGAAAATGGATTAAATCAGATATGTGCTTAAACTGTGTAAAATACATATAGTTATATAGTGCAGATCTTTTTAGTTTCCTCCTGCTAACATCAAATTAGACTAAACATTTCCTTCTTTGAGCCAGATAGAATAAATAAAAAATATTTCTATTGGCTTCATGCTAAAATAATCAGAAAAAAATGATTTAAAAAAAAATGTTCTATATTGATAAATTTACAAATTATTTGGTAACTGCTTTAAACTACATGAATCAAGTCTAATGTTTTGGGCTTCCTTCCACAAGCATCTCATGTTTCGCTGGAATTTTTGTCCATTCTTGTCCATGTTTCTAGGAAACATTGTGTGCTTACATTCTAAGAAACGTCACTTTATCATATGGTCTCCATAATGTTGATTTAATTATACTTCACCAACATTACCTGTTTGAATCAAGTATTGAGTCACTGTTGGGTGTTGTTTTTATTACCTCCCTGCCTTGAGTAGTAAAAACATTTTTATTTAATCAGACTTCAAGACATGTCATGAAAAGTTGAGATACTGTCCCTGAGAGCATTTTGAAACTTTGATCTGACTTGTAATGTTGGCTTTTGGGTGCTGGCCTCTTCCTCTGAGAGTGGCCTTTCTGCCCATCTAAGAACGGGAATCATTCCACTAATAATATTCTTTGAACAGCTATAGCCAGCAGATGGCCACAGCTTCACTTTATCTTTATCAGGGCTTTTCCATTTTGTTTTTAAAATCCTAGTTTTCTTAGTATCTGTAAACTTCTAGTTTTAAAGAAAGTTAAACAGATCCTTTAATAAAAGATAGTTTTGATTACTCTATCATATCTTGAACAGGGAAAGATTAGTTTGATTTAATATCCCGCAATAAGGCAAAAAAGTTTTGCCTTTTTGAACAGGTTATGTATTTTTGCAAAACGTGTGTTGCTCTGTAGAAAGTGTAACATATTTAACAGCAGTTCTCTCTTGTAAATGAGAAATTGTGTCTCAGAGAAGCCACCCATAAAGTATAAATAGAGGTTTAGTCATAAAATAGGGCGTTAACTGTAGATTCTATTGAAACAAATAACTTGTTTCATATCTTTCTTCATCTCTAAGCTGACAATGGTATGTGGATTGTTTAGATCTTATCAATGCCATGTGACTTTCAGGAAGATTCTCTGTATGAAACAAACGACAGTCGACTATTAATCATTTTGACAGATTTTCAAGTAACATCTCTTAATCTCTCCCAGAGAAACCATACAGAACCAATAAAAATGGTTATGAACTATTTTAACCACACACAAAAAATGTATCTATTTTACACACAAGTTATATTCAAGGCTTTTTTTGCCTAATAGCACAATAGTTTGTTGATCTTCCTTTGTAGGATTTCTAAAAAATCATATGGAAACTTTCACAGAAAAGTCACAAGCAAACTTCCTTGAGATCTTTGTGAGGCTTTCTCTGAGCAAAACTGAAAGAATTAGCTGTTGCTTGGGCCTTGGTGTGGTGCATTACCTCGAGCAGGAAGTCGGATGAATCATGTACCAGCATCACCAGTGTACCAACCCTCACATAGTTGGCGCAGTAGGAGAAACAGATAAGAAATATAGTGGCAATGTGATGCACCACCTGCTCTTTGAAATCCTGAAATAAATGAAGAAAAAGTATTCTGAAATAAAGCTAGAACAAAATCTCCTCAGTATAAAGTTATTCTACAAAAAAAAAGAAAAAAATCAAACAGAAAAGCTTTTAAAGCAACCAGCATTTCAATAAACAAAAGTGAATTACATTTCTAAAGAGAGGAATTAGACGAGTAGGAATGCTGTACTGTACATCTGTGCTAAACTAATTCTCCATACAACATAATCCTGGATAATTTACTTTTATATTGTGGCAAAATGAAAAACATTAAAGCCCACAACCAAATAATCCAGCATACTTTCTAAAATAGGTTAGACCATGGAAAAACAACTAACAAATACCTGAAAATCACACCAAACCAGATTTACACAATTTTATGCTTGACTGTCTTCCATCAGTGATCAGCATATTGGAACCAAGACAATCAGATAGTTTTTTTTTTTTTCCAGTCAGTGAACACACCATAACTAAGCGTCTCTAAGTCCCAGAACCTGGTGTGTAGAGTTGATTACAGAGGAAACAAGACTTTGCCGTGACATTTTTGCTGTGGTGAATTAAGGCACAGAAACACAAACTCTTGTGTTTCCTATGGATGTGCTTTGGCTACCAGAGTTACTCTGTTTATCTTTTTGATGGCTCCAGTACTGTTCATCATGGGACATCTCACTGATAAAGCCTGACAACTCTACACGCAGGCTGATGTCTGCAGTCTGTAATTCAAGCCACCCTGAACATACCGTGCAACAGAAGCCTATAATCTCGTCATCTATAATAAGAGGGAAATGCTGTTTCACCCACAGCTCTGTGACACTGACTGCTGTCTTTCACTCTCTCTGTTCTGTTCTTATCATAATTATTTAATTTCTACTTACAAAAATAATCATAAAGCCTTATTATAATTTAATGTATAAATGTAAAGCTGGGATATTTATCAGTAATACAAAGTTGGCCACGACTATAATTTATTTTAAATGTATCTTTCAGCAAAAAAACGGAATATACTGAGATATGGTGCATCTTCAGATTTTAATATGTAAGAAAAAATAAAAATATAAATGCATCATAATCTGTTTTATGAAAAAATGATTTAGTTAGTTATCACAGAGGCATATCCATGTTATATTAATGTAGAATGAATAATGAAGTGTTTTACTGGGCTTTAATAAAATTGGTGACTACAAATCATTTACAACATTTATTATCTCTAACTAAATATGCTACTACTAAAAAACACTTAATCCTTAGAAGAAATAGCTAAATGCGTTTTTATTGCACATAGGTGATGGTGTTTTGCGTCAGGCTTGTACTCACTTTTCGCTTGACGTCCACAGAGACGCTTAGCAGCAGGGACAAATAGAAACTCAGCTCCAACATGTAATACCAGTAGTGAGCATTTGCCACAGGCTGAAGAATGAGAGGAAGAGCATCACAATGAGCAAAAATCTACATTCATATAAGTTCAGTCAGAGGAAATTCATGGTGTGCAAAGCTGAAAACATATCTTGAACACTTCTCTTGATATTACAGAAAAAAAAACCTAATCTTAATTTTTTTTATTAGGATTAAATGGAACAGATGAAGAGAAACTACTTGATAATTCTGAATTTGAAGGAAAAGAAGCAAGTTTTCTTTTACACAGAAATTTCTAATAGCTAAAGCCCTATGTGTGTTGTTACTGCGGACGTTGAGACCGCCATGAGAACGTTACAGGGGGAAGTGTGGGCGTGGATTGGCTGCCACGCAAATGGACAGAAACTGCCGCCTGTAGTGATTTCTAAGAGAAAGACTTTGCCTAAAGATACTTTTCCAGCTGGAGTCGTTATTAAGGCAAATGAAAAGGGCTGGATGGATGAGGAGATGATGAAAGAGTGGCTGAGGGAGGTGTATGTAAGGAGACCAGGTGGTTTTTTTCCACGCATCACCATCGCTGTTAATCTGTGACTCCATGCGTGCCCATCTCACAGCCGATGTGAAAAACAAGGTGAAACAAATGAACGCTTTGCTTGCTGTTATTCCGGGAGGTCTGACAAAGGAACTTTAACCGCTCGACATCGGTGTGAAGCGGCCGTTCAAAGTAAGGCTGCGAGCGGCGTGGAGCGATGGATGACAGACAGAGACCACAGTTTCACGAAAAGTGGAAGGCAGCAGCGGGCAAGTTACGCTACAGTTTGCGGATGGATTGTAGATGCTTGGGCTAACGTATCTGCTGGCACTGTTGTTCGAGCTTTCGGAAAAGCCGGCATAATTTCCGATGAGCCGCACGACACGAAAAGTGACTCTGACAGCGAAGAAGGGGAAATTGGCATGTCTGATTTAGTGCAGCTGTTTAATTCAGAAACAGTTTTGCTCCCGCTCTATTTTTAAATATGCAGTAGAGGTATTTAAAGAGGATATGTACCGGTATATAAAACCCGCGCCCTATAATCCGGTGTGCCTTATGTGTGTGTTAAATACAGCAACGGCACACATAACTGAGACTGCGCCTTTTATTACGGTGCGCCTTATGGTCGTGAAAATACGGTAATAGTGAATTAGGCAATATTTGCATGCAGTAAACCTGAGTAAATGCATTTGCACCACCAACCACCAGCCACTAACATGTTTAACAGTGAGGACAGTGTGTAGTTCAGGGTGATGTGGATTGTTAATCCACCCTAACCTTTTGCACGTCGACCAAAAATATCAAATTTGGTTTCATCTGAACAGAGCGCCTTCCTTCTCAGGTTTGCTGTCTCTCCTTAACTCTATCACTACTTATGCAAGAAACCATACGTGCAATAAAGCAAAGAAAAACTTACTTTCTCAAAAATGCTTTTGGACTTGCCTCACCTGTCCAACCACTTGCATACTGCCACTAAGCTATGAACAAAATTAAAGACTTGAAGGTGCCGAAAGCGGCTAATTTGAATCTCAAGAACAAGTTAAAAGAAAAAAAAAAACAATTATCGACATTACTCCCAGTCTTAGTACACGATGGCCTATTTCATTCAAAGGAATTGTGTAACATCTCAAATAAAAGTACTTGCATAACATCCAAGACTGGGTGTTTGCAGGGACACAATGGCACTAAGTGAATGTGGAAATGTATTCCTCAAAACACATTCTTTATCGCCACAAAGGCCTAGAGATCTCAGAGCAGCATGGCGTGCTGGAGTCTAAAGGTATTTTAATCAGGTGTCACTTTTCTACTGTTTTCTCTCCACGAGTTCATGACCGTGAAGGTATGCATGCATACCGAGCTGTCATTTCACCACATATATTAGCTTTAAAATCAGAGTGTCAGAGAGAGTCTAGATGTATGAAAACAGGTCAGCAGTGAAGGAGGGGAGGGAATCTTAAAAAGTCAGCAGGAAGGTGTGTGTTAAACAGCCAAAAAAAATTAATCTATGTCTTTTTTAATAATAAGTAAAACAAAATTATTTATTTTCTTTAAAACCTGATGGGAAACTGTACTCACAGGTTTAAATAGACAAAAATTAAACATTCTGTATCATATACTATACAGATTATGTTTAATACACTAATCCCAACGGTCCAACAGATAAAAACTACTAAATCCAATCCCTCCCATTATATTGAATGTACGTATGAAAAGATCATTACATTCCAGTCTGTCATATTAATCAAATATGGCATAGTTACACAAACCAACTGTATTATTTTCCATTTATTTTCAGCTTCTTCTTTCATGGATTATTATTATTGATATGAGAAACCGCTGCACATCCTTCTTCTTTACATCCAGAAACCGTCTCTTTGAACTTCCCCATCTGCATTGTAACTTAAATTTCCCCAATGAAATGGACTGTTCTTCCACTGCAGACGTCCAAACCATCTCAGCCTTGCCTCTCTGAAATTCTCTCTGGATAATCCTCCATTTTGGTCACTCAATAAGCATCCTCAAACTGCCATCCTCTGGTTGTCATCAGATGATGTCATACCACCCCACACCAAAATCCTACAAACCTTTCCTCTCTTAAACTACCTCTAACAAAGGTATCCAACACTTTCATCCTGCCTCGGTTCTGTTTTCCTCCCTCATCCACTAACTGTTGCTTTCGATCTCTAATCTAAGATAGTTCAACTCACCATCTGTACTTCCTAAAGATTTAATTATGCCAGCTCTCTCTCTCTCTTTCTCTCTTATGCACACACATAATCTGATTTGTTTCTGTAATTTACCTTGTTTCCATTCAAATCAGTTTACCTTTATATCCTCAATTCACAGTAACTTGTAATACCAACATGTCTTGTTTATAATCACCAATAAAAATCAGAATATTCTGATCAAATCTGTCTATTAGCAGATTGAAGTTCAATTCAAATACATTACAATGCTACCTGAGTCATAAAGCAACAGTCAGATTCAGTTTGTGAAACATTATCTAAGGAAGTCTAGATGATTGCATCAAATCATTAGCTACATACAGTTCATGCAAGCAAAAAAAAAACTTTTTTTTTACACCACATAACCCAATCTGCAGAGATAATAATGATAATAATGGAGCTGTAACTGTTAAGTCATCTACAGAAGAGACAGAGCAGGCTGTACTTCCTAAGTGTTTGTAGCACCACGCTACGCATCTTCTATAAGTATGCTGTAGAGTGTAATCTCTTCCTTCAACATGGCTGGAGTAACAGCATCAGAGCGTATGAGTTAAAAAAGCTCAACAAGCTAATAAAAAAGACCAATTTTGTTCTAGGAACTCAAGAACCTGATGATTTCACGAAGAAGAATTCTTAATAAACTGAAGAACAACATAGACAACAGTGTACAAAACCAATATAGTGTCTTCAATCAAGGGTTTCTCCAGATCTGGTTCAAGACAGATGATCCTTCCTACCTTTATCTAACAACACATATAACAACTCTTAAAAAAATAAAAAAATAATAATAAAACAAATTTTCCTTTGTGACCAGTTATTTACAAATTGAATTGCATTGAATTAAATATCAGGAAGTGTTTTCTTCTTACTCTGAACATCCTGCAGTTACCATTAGAATAGAATAAAATAGAATAGAATAGAATAGAAAATCCCTTTATTGTCACACAATGGGGAAATTCTGGTGTTTACAGCAGAAAAAGATTATGAAAACATTGGTCACACAATTGTGGACCTTAAAAATAATAAGAATAACATAAATAGAGAAGAGTTAAAAGATAGACAATAAAATACTGTACTGCAATGTGTTTTAACAATATACAAAGTGTGCACCTGGAGAATAAATATCCATTATACAGCTACAGTATGGACATTTTTACAGTAATGGATATTTAAAAATAGCAGCAACATCAGAGATGTGAAAAATGAAAGCAGCATAATTTCATTATCATAATGAAATCACACTGTATCCAACTCAGTGATGCAGAACATAAACTAAATGCAAAGTCCTTATCAATAACAATGTGTTTGAGTCATGCTGTCTCCTCCTCACCTGTTTTGGATATCCCCTCCAACACTCACTTTGATCCCAGAACCAGGGAGTCTGGAAGATTTAGTAGAAACAAACATTTAGGAAAACTGAATATCATCTTTCTAACATGAATAAACTGAATGCATTTAAGAACATTCTTGTCAACAGGTTGATGGGCAATTCTTTCATCGACTCATTCATTTTCTGACAGACTCTCCAAGCAAATTAAATTGAAAGCATAGAACCGTCTCTTAAAAAGAGGCTAACAAACTTACATCAATCAGCGAGCAGAGTCCTGCGATGAAGGCAACGAGGTAAAACACAAACCGCCAACTGTGGAGATTGGGAATCATCTATCAAGAGCTGTGACACTCAATCTGCAATGTGCAGTTTAAACCAAAGCAACACAAAAATGCAAAGAATAATCCACCAAGAATCCACAGATGTAAGGAAGACTTAGGCAAATTATTTATATGATTTATTTATTGAATCCATTAAAAAAGGAACTCACGATGCCTCACAGAACTTCTTGGTGTTGCTGGGTCGGTCTTGGTTTCTTCTGTGTCTGAACCAGGTTTGAATCTTTCTTTGAGAGAGTCCACACTGCCTTCCCAGGCTCACAACTTGACTCTAAACACACAGACACACACAAAGAGACCATATAACGCAATGTTTCACATTTCAAACCAATCTGCCCAATAATTCTTCAGCTAGCAGCTTTCCTACTATACAAATCGAATATTTAAAATATCTAAGCACTCGTCAGCGGGTGAACATTCAAAACACACATTTTTAAAGTTCACATTTGTTTCTAAATAACAATGATAAAGGAATCTCATTTAAAATCAGGCTTTATGAATTTATCTTTTTCTCAAAAAACATTAATTTTCTGTCAAGCTTGTCCCTGCTGGGGTCACGTAAGGTGCTGGTGCCTATCTCCAGCGATCTACGGGCGAGAGGCAGGGTCCACCCTGGACAGGTCGCTAGTCTATCGCAGGGCAACACAGAGACAAACAGGACAAACAACCATTCACACACACACTCACACCTAAGGAGAATTTAGAGAAGCAAATTAACCTAACAGTCATGTGTTTGGACTGTGGGAGGAAGCTGGAGTACCAGGAGAGAACCCATGCATGCTCAGGGAGAACATGCAAAATCCATGTAGAAAGAAATCTAATCCAGAAACTTCTTGCTGCAAGGCATATTGCCCACTGCCCACTGTGCAGCCCTACATTATTTTTTTCCATTTTGGGAAAAAAAAAAAAAAAGTATATTAGGCGTTATAATAAATTATAAAGCGCAGTTTTTTTTCTGGCAATATTTTGTAGATTTCTCCATATTTTCATGGACTTTGACACCAAGAAAGTTGGATTTTTTTTTTTTTTTTTTTTTGAGGTTTTTAGGTACTAGAGTCTTGTTTATTGTAAAGTGGCTGACAGGAAAGGGGGTATGAGAGAGGGGGAGAGACATGAGGCAAAGGACCACAAGCTGGATCCAAACCCGGGGCTGCCATGTCAAGGACACCGGCCTCCATACATGGGTCGTGCTAACCACTGTTCCACCAAAGCACAACTGACAGTTTGGATATCTAAGCAATTTTATTTGTAGATCCTAAAATAAACCATGGAGGAAATTTTAACAACTGAATCAATTATAGAGTTCCCCAAAAACAAAACATATGGAACCCAGAACTAACAAGATAAAATGAATTTAGTTGTGAGTTTACTTATTTTATTTGTCTTAGTAGGGTAGATTGTTGTTACACTCATCATATCTGAGCCACCACAGAGCATTGTAAAATAACATCTGGAATGAAACTTTCACAAACTAGATGGTTTTTAACATTTTAATCCAAACATTATTTTACACTGCCCTGTGCTGGTTCAGATAAGATGAGTGTTATAACCAACACCCCTGTCCCCTAATTAACTAGTGAGTAAAAAAACCTTTAGTAAATTAAATTAATGATAAAAGTTATCATCTAAATATAAAACAAGGTAAAAACAGCCTGCAAATTGAACACATTGGAATAAGAAAATATGGAAATATGGAATTTCAACACTTTCTCCAAATAGTTTTAACTTTTCTATGCTTATCCAGAGCTTTTAAACTTGCATAATATCCCAAGTACTATGGAGGACCGATCCTGCCATAATTAAAAATACGTACAGAAATAAATGAAGGACTTAATAATATAAAATTGCTTGAAAAAAGTAGCTAATAGTATGAATTTGTGTGCCATTAAATGTGACAAAATAATAAAACGAAGATATTTCTTCAACAATTGATCAATTTTTCATTAAAAAATTTACATTTTGACTTATACTTTTATTTTACTTTTCTTCTTGCTTTTATGCTGACTTATTTTTAACCCACTTCTTTTCTGTTATACATTTTTATCGAAGTCTTTATTTGGCTTTGTATATTTATTGCAAGTGGGTTTTTTTTTTTTGTTCCGTATTTCCACTGCAACCTTTGTACTTTTTTCATATTTATTCACACCAACATTTTTAAAAGATGTTTATATTTTTGTCTCATAATGATTTACACCACAACATTTTTAAAGCATGTTTTTAATTCACCATAAATATTCATTTTCACCCGCACTCCTGCTCAGCAAACGTTTCCAGGGAACCAGGCCTTGGCCAATAGCTGTAAAGCTTTGCCGGCTCCCGGCTGATTTATATTAATAGGTCCTTCATTTATTTCTGTACATATTTTTAATTAGCGGTCTTCCATAAGTATCATCTAAAGGTGAGATATACATGTACTGCTTATAAAAACACTTTTGCTCTGTTGAGTCCAACATTAGAGCGGCTCAGGTGGCTGTTAGTGTGATGCCGCCTTCCCTCTCCTTTTCTGCACACAGATACTTTACACACGTTTATGTTACACCTGAAAGGTCTGTTCAGGGTGAGACTTAATTACAAGCTTAAGATAACTTACTCTCAGTTAAAGTCAAAAAGGGCTTGGTTTTATATTGTGAGTGTAAGCTGAGACTTACACAACACACAAATCAGCTTCAAGTATGTCAAAAATGAGAAAATGACGGCATTAAACGTGGACATGCTGTACTAGCATGAACAAAAACATATTATAAAAATAGAGCTTGTTGAGCTGTAAAATAACAGTTTAATTTAATAGGTCAAGTCTTGTTTTGTTCTAACACATGCATTGCTAGGCTTGTCAGGACAGGAACACCAGAGCTGTTATTCCACCTGTCTCTGTAAACAAGCAGGTAGAGACATACATGCCTTCCTTTTTTCTAGATAAAGAAACTAAGATTCACATCTATTAAATTGTTCCTGTTTTTTTTTTTTGTGTGTGTATTTCAGAAATTAATTAAGTGGATGGAGTAACAGCTGCGAAAGGCATTTTTTGAAGAATATACTAAAAAAAAATCTGTAATCAACAAGAAGCTGCAGACTGAACTGAGCTTAGATTCCCATTCAAACTGAATAGGAATCTAAGCTCTGGGAATCTAAGTACAGTAGCTTTGAAAACATCAACCAAGAGGTTTGAAAAGTTAAACTATAATTTCTATTTATTTCACCGGAAACACTTCATATAAAAAAGCTAAAAAAAACTTCCTCCTTAATGCCTTAAAACGGTGCCAGCAAAATTCCCTTTCCTTTCCCCTGGTTAAAAGAGAATGTCAGGTGATCCCATTACTATCTCATGACAAATGAACCTCTCAATCATGTGGAATATAATGACTATTGAGAAACTTCTGCTCCCTTTTTGGAAACAAGGAAACAAACTTTGAATCATCAGGTTCATTCATATTGCAACACAGCAACACTTCACCCATCGCATATAAACATCAATGTCTTAAACCATCAAATGAATTATTGAAAAAGAAAGAAATTTACAATGTCTGCTTCATTTGCTTAAACATTTTCCAAACAGGTTTAACAGGCAGTGGTGACAGGGTGAGAACTTCTTTTAACATTTGCATCTTATCTGCAGCAACTTCAAAACAGAAACCCTTTTTTTTGACAGTTTAACTTCCAACCCTTATCATGCAAGTAAACTTTTTGACACAATTCACAATATAAAGAAGAAGAACCATTTAAAAAAGCCTCTCTGGTTATGTGTTGCTGCACAGTAGTGCAGTCGGTAGAGCTGGTTTGATTCTAAAAAATAGGTCCTGGATCTACTTAATTAATTAATCCCAGCCTGGAGTGCAGGTTAATGTCAATGTTTTGGTTCAGTCTGGCTACTTAAAAGTCCTCTCATAGTCAAAAAACATTACTTTACACTGAATTAGGTTCATACTCAGCATTCCCCTCAGGTATAAGTGTGTTAAAGTAGAGTGAGTATTTGTGCATGGCTGTTTGTTCTGTGTGTCTCTAAGTTGATAGACAAACAGAAAAATGAACAAGTTTAGAGAGCTGCACTAAAACTACATTCCTTCTTTTTATACACTTGTGTGTACGAAATGACAAAATAAAATCTGTCAATGTCTAAGTCTGAACAGCCAATGAATTTGAAAGTCAAGCCCCAGTCCCCCTGCTAACCTACAATAAGTTATATACTGGTATAGACATATGTCAAAAGTTTTGTTCATTTTGTTCTAGATCTGTTGACAAATCGTACAAAAAATTATGGTTTGGAGACTAAAGGATGGCCTCACAACTAATGCAAAAATGATGTTGTTTTGAGATTGCAACTAATTAAAATTGTAGCACCTTTGTCTTGCAGTAAGAAGGTTCTAGGTTTCATTCCCAGCCTTGGGGTCGCATGTTCTCCGTGTTTGTGGGGGGGTTCTCTCCTGGTACTTTGGTAAAACCTGACCATGAAATTAAAAGGTGACTAAATTACCCTTAGGTGTGAATGTGTGTATTTGCAGAGTTGTGTGCCTCTATGTTCCCCTATGGTGGACTGGTGGACTGTCCAGGGTGTACAGAGCCTTTCACTCACAGACACCAACCTAATGTGATTCTGACAGAGAAGCAGTAGAAGATGGATGGACTCATTTGTTACTTCAGTTTTAGATAAAAACTGATTATTTTATGAATTTTTGTATGTCTGAGAAAATATTCTGAAAATGTAAAAACATTATTTTTACCAGTCCAAGCCCAGCCTCCATCTTTCAAATTTATAGATTTTTTTTGTCTGTTTTTTTTTTTTTATATAGATTTGGCAACACCAGGAAGGACATCTATGTGCATTAAGTCCTAGTTCATCATAGTCTGTGAAAAAACTCTGTTTTGCAGGATTTAGGAATATGATTATCCATTAAATATTAGGTGAAAACTGCAAAAACCCTACTGAAGCGATCAGAATGGCGGGCAGCAGCATATTCTGATTGAACACCTGGGACTTATGGATGCTCCAGCAGCCTGTTTGCTTTGTAAAGTGGAGAAGATTAATCAGAAAGAAGAGGAGTACAAACTTGTGATGGCTCCCGGCTGATGTGTTTGTAGAAGGCATCCAGTTTTGGGATAGGTGGAGCTTGAATCCGAATCTGATCCTTCACCCCTAAACATTTGCTTAATGGAATGGCTATGATCCTGTTTAGAAAAATAAAAGAAAAAAAGAAGAGGTTAAATGTTTTATACAGTAAAAAGAATCTAATGTACAACTAAAGTGGACAATTTTGAATGAACTTTATGATGAAAGGAGCCACCTGCAGCTGCCCATTGTTGATCTTCAGCTCAGCATTGAGCAGCGAAACATGATCGTTCATTATGCTACCCCTGACAGCTTGTGATCTGCTCCTATCGGTGTATTGTGACATTTTGCCAGATAACCCTAGTCAGTAGCTGACAGGGCATCAGGAGACACTTGATCTGTGTGTGTTTGTGAGTGCATGTATAGGTCAGAGAGAAAAGAGGGACAAGAACAGCAAAAACACAATCAGAGTTTCTGAGAAAGAGCGAAATGTTTTGACAAATGACCGTATTTGTTGAACCTGGCAGCGTAATGACATGTGTAACTCTACCTCAGAGATAATCATCACAAAGTGAGAATGAAGGGACAGATCAGGGATAATGAGAAGGTCGGCGTGGCTTTATGTAGAGACGAACAGTCTCAGGTTACAGAAAGACATGTGGTGAGCTGAACACAGCCTGAGATGTTAAAATGAAGAACCACCTAATTCATCTTTCTGCACAACTACAACTATACAGAGCCCTATCAGAGACAAATCAGACACAGACCTACACACACATGAGCTGGCATCTGTTTTATTATTGTCTCACTGAGGCAAAGCTAATGTCATGATTCCAGAGTCATACTGAGGGTTATGCTAAAGGCAGAATGTTCCCTCCTCATGAAGCAGCAGGTCATATCTCACCTCAGGCAGCGCTGATGACAGAGCAGCTGATAACAAAAAGCATTCAAAAAACGTTCCTCCTATCTGATTAGCAATCCTCTGCGTCTGCATCTAGTTCTATCTGTCTTGTTTTACTCTAAAGCAAAACTTGGGGAAACAAATTGATTAACTTTCTGTCTTTTGGTTGCATCAGTTTTCGATTTGGCATTACAATTATAAATGAATTAAGGGCAGGAATTTAGAAAAAATGCAAATATATGTCCAGTTTTCTTAAGGTCCAAAAAGGCCACAAGAAGTTTAGGATTTTCAAGGGTCCAACTTTATCCCTTCTGCTCACAGGCAAAAATAATAGAGGACATTATATATTATTTATATTATGAAATCCAATGTTATTTACATGCTGAGTGCTTTTGAAAGTGATTAAAAGTAGTTCTTGTTACTGATACATTAAAGAGTGAATTGATGCACTTAGTGATGTTTAATCTCATCCTGAAAATGCAATGGATTGAATAATGTTATCACTGGAAACCTTTTAGACATTTTTCAGGATTCATTCTCCATTTTTCAGGAAGCATTTCAAACTCATTGACAACTAAAAAGATTTACATTAAAGAACTTAAGTTTTTTTTGTTTGTTTTTTTATCCCAATCTCTTTCTGTTAGGGTTAAAAGCATCTTTTTAAGGCAAGTCAATTCAATATTTTTTTTAATTAAAACTTAACCAGACAGATGATTACCATGAGATTCATTTACATCCTGGTTCTATAACCAGACACTCCAGCTACACCGTGTAAACAACCGGTAGGGGAGTTTTAATCCCTGAGGGACACAGACAGAAAAAACAACATAAAATCACATTCGTATGTCGACAATAAATATTGTCAGTCTAAAGGGTTAGCAACAGTGAAGTCTTACCTGTCAAATACGTATCTTAGGATTATAAAGGCAAAGGCCAGTGGCAAAGCGATGAGGAGATCCCTGGGCAAAGGAAAGCGACCTTCCTCATTGTCCATCTCAGTGTCCTGCCAGCGGATGCCAGGAGGAAGCCAGTACTTCTCCTGCCACAGCCACGTGTTCAACATGGTCAACATGCTAAAAATAAAAGGAAAGATGAGGTTTTGTTTCATATAAAACAGATATGAATCACTGAATTCATCTTTCATGGTAACAATAACCCAAAGACCTAAAATAAAGAACATTTTTGACAAACGATAGAGGGGCCTCACTCAATGACTACCGGCCTTTTGCACTGACTCCAATCATGATGAAGAAACCATCTCCTCTGCTCTCCACCTAAGCCAGCTCAGCTGTAGAAGTGGTCAGCAGCCCCGAATTCCTGGGGGTTCACTTCATAGACAACCTTTCCAATTTTCCTTTCCATACAAATGACAATAAATGCTGTCTAAGTCTAATTTCTCATGAAGCACATCTGTAATGTATACGTTTATTCCTGGACTATAGAAGGGCTAGAAAATAGCAAGATAAATCTGAATGCCTAAGTTTTTACTTTCTATAATTACAAGCAAACAACCTTGAAGAAAATGGTACCCGGAAATATAAAGTAAAGTTATATTTTGATTGGATGGTACACCACCTGTCAAACGGCAGACAAGAGTGCCCTGCACAGGATAGGGAAGGGATCTGAAGAGATCATATTAATAGAATGATTCACAGCTTTCTGCTTTAGGGCTGTAAAAATGCTATACCACAAATTATACAGGTATTTAATTTCCTTTTTCCAATTATCTTTTTTAATTTTCTACATTTCATCTACAAAGATATTTGCAAAACCAAATGGTTAAACGATTCTATAATACTGAATACACAGCCTTGCTGTATACCTGCTGCATTACATGGAAATGGCAATGAAATGTTTCAAACTGATCTCGGTCTTTCTGTATCTCTATCCAGGCAGGTATGTACTGAAAAACAATAGCTCAATAAGGCAGAACATTATGACCATAAACAATACTAATTATCCCCTAATCATTGAACTCGTTGGAAGTTCATTTTGGGTGAAAGCTAGTGTTAGTTCTAAAAGGAAGATTTCAGAACATACAGGGCATCGCAGCTTGTCAGCATAGCAGCAGGTCACCAACACTGATTCGAGTTTGTTAAGGAAAGCAGCATCAATAGGGCTATGAGAACCAGAACAGTACCCTGGAGCAATAGAAACAGATGGCTTTGTCTGATGAATTATGTTTTATTACATCTTGGCACGGTCAACATGCACAATGCTTCTCGGAGGAACACATGGCACTAGGTTGGAGGAAAGCTGGGGGGAAGCAGTCATCTAAAACCTTGAGACCTGACACCCATTTGGATGTTACTTTGACTAATACCTACCTAAACATCATTGCGCATGCAGACTTAGAGGAGCACAACAATTCCAGCGGTTGACTTGGCCTTTAAATCCCACAGATCTAAAATCAGGTATGTTTAAGGTTTGCCAGACAAGTCCAATCAGTGAAGGTGACATTTGGCACATATCTGGAGCTAAAATACCGCAGTTAGAAACCACAGCTCACCAACAGGGGTACAGTCCCTATGAGAGATAGATAAATCAGCTGGATGATATTTTTGATTGATTGGTTTTAGGTCACATGGGTGCATGCATTTCCATTTCCATTGCTATCCATTGTAAATGTTTTGTTTGTTTTGTTTAAATTGAGGCTTGTGCAACATTAATTATAACTGTGTCATTTTTATCATGTAAACAGAGGGGAAAAGGCCATTTCAGCTCTATGAATCAGTCTAAAAATATTGGCAGCACACATCGGGGATCAGTTAAACCAGGGGTCTGCAACCTTGGGAATCCAAAGAGCCATTTCTGCAAGTCCAGCCAAATAAAAGTGGTTGGAAGCCACAAATTTGACACACCCTTTTAATAAAACACAATTTTTCAAATTTAGTTAAATATCCACTAAATTTGTTTTCATTTGTTTGGAATTTTAGGTTTTGAAATAAGGAAAAAAACAAAATGCATGGATTTTCTTCTATAGGATGTTGATATGTGTGTAAAAATTATGTTAAAAAAAGTTTCCATAGTAATGACAAAAAAAATATCTAAAAACATCACAAAAATAACATTGGTTAATTTAATGTATTCTTTAGTGGAATTTCAACTGAGAAATTATTTTCAAAATCTGTTAAAACCTCTGAAACAAGCGCATGTTGTTATACCCTATTTGAAACCTTTAGTTGGTTCTTCATAGTTTAAGCCACTATAAGGAGCCTCTATTGAGGGTCCAAAGAGCCAGCTGTGCAGGGGCGGATCTAGACCAAATGTACCAGGGGCAAGGAGGGGGCCAGTGGGTTTTCATGGGGGCACAGAAAAGCATGAAATAAAAAAACAGGGCAAGGGATTCAAATATATTAATAGAGCTGCATGAAGTGAAATTTCTTTTCAGTAAGGTTCAATAAAAATTCTATTTCTTATGAGGTCGATATAAATCTATAATTTAGGAATTTTACATGTTTTTGATTTATTTTAAGTTAAAACTACCGTTTTCTATAAAATATGAATTAGAACTCAAGAAAAACTGTTAAATTCATCAAATTTGAACATTTTTTATTTGTTGTGTGAAAAAAAAACATTTAGCAGATGAAAACTGGGATCAATACCACTGAAGCTCTCACCTTATTGTTTTTGAATAATTAGTTAAACAGAATTTGTAAAGAAAAATAAGGAAATAGATCCAAAGGACCTAACCATGTCTGTTCCAGCGCATATCATCATTAGAATAATTTTCAGTATTATGTCTTCAGTACAGGGGCCAGGACATGATCTACAGGGGCACTGGCCCCCGTTGGCCCCTGTCTAGAACAGCCCATGCACCTGTGGCCTGGGTTAGACTAATGTCAAAATAATCGGTATGGACATCGGCCATAAAAAACTGCATCAGTGGATCTCTAGGCGCTAAACTTCAGCCTTATAGGGTCTGTTGTCTGCACCACACAAGACAAGCCTGATCTGTTTACCATTTTATTGTGAAAAAAGTAAGTTTGACACAAGCACAAATAACCATAATTATAAATATTATTAATAAAAATGTAATTTAAATTATCTAAAGGATCAATGATGTATTTAAAAATTAATTGAAATAAGGTCTTTGCTGGTTCTTAAGACAACATTAATTGTTATAATAACTCAAGACAGACACTAACATAATGCATGACATCCCTGCAGCTCAGTATATCCTTGCCTCCTCCGGCCTGTAAAGGCTGCAGCTTTATCTGCTTCCTACTGATAGGCTGCTCTGCGCATTCTGCTGCAAACGCAAACTAAGGTGCAATGACAGTAAAACAACACAGACCGATTTGGAGAGTGAATACTAGAGTAAGTGCATCAGTATTAGGATGAAATCCTTCTGCATTAACCAGTAATGATTTAGCGGAACCTGTCAGCGCTCGGAGAGAAGCGCAACCTGTCATCACCGCTTCATCCCGAGAATCCAACATTCTCTCTAATTCAACATTATTTAAAATAATATTAAAATATATTCATAGCAGCATTATATCGCGGAGAAATGTTGCGCTCACCTGTCCAGGCTCATGATGTGCTGAGGATGGGAAATACAACAGCGGCAAATGGGTAAGGAGGAGGAGGAGGAGCTTGTTTCTACGCCCCCTGCGTCCGCCGCGGGCGGGGAGAGGCGCACCCTTTCACCATCACCGTTTCATCATCGGATCCACTGCTTTTCAGATTCTTCACCGTGCGTGAAAAACAAACCAAGCCAAACCACTCCGCACATATTTAGCCAACTGGCAGTTCTGCGCAAGGGCGGAGCTAGATGGGGGGCCAGGGGTGGCCATGGTCCCCCTTAACCAATCATTGGCATAATTTCCCCCCTCTAATAAGATGGTGGCAGCACTAATACTCTCAGGTGGAATATTCATTTTAATTTTTCATATATTACTTACTATTTTTTTTCATGTGTTCTTGACAAAAAAAACACAGTGGTTAATTATACACATCAATATAATAACATTAAAGATGATAAGTGCAGAATTAATGACCTCTTCAGAACAAGATTTTATGTTATATGAGGTAAAGAGAAAACGATGTGTCTCTGCATTCATCTGGGAGTCTTCAGTAAAATCATAGATAAATAACAATAAAAAAAAAACATTAAATAATCAATTTATGTTGATATTAGTGCTTTTAAATATCAATTTTATACAGAATTAATCGATAAAAGTGGGTAAGTAATGACAATGAAAAAGATGTTTGCCGCAGAACTCAAACTTGAAAGTATTTTATCCACTATACCTTTTATCTCGAAAGCACGGATGTTTAAATATATGCGTCTTTTTGTTAGCAAAGGCTGTAGGAAAGTATAGTTAGTCTTATCTTTGGATTGACCGTGAGGTTCTGGCGCCTATACACTTTCAGCCACCCCTCAGTGTACACTGGTTATTGCCTGGCCACCCTTATAAAAATGGCTATGCCTCTGGTTCTCTAAGAATATAGATATTTACTTAGAGTCCCTTGCAAAAGTCTTTATATTCCTCATTTTTGTTGCAGATATCAAATTTGATAAAATTAAATTACTAGTATTAACAGACAACCCTTTTCTCATGTCTTTAACTAGTTGTCTTCCATGGTTTCCCTGGATCTATTCATCATTAATAACCATACATTATACTAGGTAGGCTGCTTCCTCGGATGTACGCAGCCTGCGAATTGAGACGCAGCATATATTTCTCACTGAAAGCAGTTGACAATATATTTTAACATGCATACTAACAACTGCGTTTAAAGCTTTACACTGTGAAATATTCAGACTTGGTCATTTGCTTCTTGTGCACATTTAAAACAATATTATTTAGTATTTGCTTGTTTTTTTGAATAAATGAATAACACCAGAATGTGAACATAATAGTGCATAACAGTTAAATAATGATTTAAACGAACATCTTAAAGAGTTTACATTACAATGTTATTCAGTTTGATTCAGTGTGATTTGATGATATGATATAGCTCATATTATCGAGGTTTAATCCATGAGTGATTAGTATTGTTCGCTAAGCAAACACATTTTCGTTTTGGCCACAGTAATGTTTGTTTTTGCAAAAAGCAGGAAAACCTCTTAATCACCAAAACCATCTGTTGTCATGCATGATGGTGCGTGGACTTTTCCTATAGTTCAAAATAAACATTATAAGGAAGATGATTCCAATCATGCAGCTGCGAAAAAATATTACGCTGCAATTTGATAGTACCAGTAGTTATTGATTGTCGCTTTACTGCTGCCAAGTATTTTTATTAGACAAAAATTGATGCAATTCAATGAATAGGTTTCAGAAACCCCCCAAAATTGGTTCATATTTTCTGTGAACAACCAAGGAGGGACACTCTCTGACTTCTAACAAGATTCAGAAAATACCAAAAACTGCTTCTTTTTTTAGTGCTAATGCTGCCTTTAACAAAAATGGCATACACAATCTTAGGTAATAAAAAAATAGGTTTTTTTACATTAACCGAAGTGTTACAATTTCATGTGGTTTTTATCAGAATTCATTTCTGATCAAAAAGAAGGTCAAACTTTGAAATTGATTCAAAGCAAATTTTTAAAACATTTCAACCTAAAGCTCTAAGCAAGTATGAAGAACATATTTAAAAGTATGTATTGCTAAGACTCTTAATCAGTTAAAAAATAATGGAATTGTTTTGAATGTTAATTAACTTTCAGACTTAAACTTTAACCCAATTCTTAGAATTTGTGATGTGATTTTTTTAAAAGACAAAAACTCCTGTTCTTCCAAAGTCAACAAAATCGATCCTTAAGTATGCTGGTGGAGATTCTTAGTCATCCCGGTCATAGCTGTTCCAAAAGCAAAAATAAAACAGCAAACTTTTCAATTCAAAATGTTTTTGAATTGGAAGCTTTTTAAATTTTTTCAAATTTCAGCTTTCACCCAGGAAGATTTTTCAATTCAAAATTAATTAAAAAAACTTATTGGATGGAAAGCAAAACCTCTTCAAATTGGAAAACAAAGTCAAGTGATTTGGGTTTTTTTTTTTTACTTTTTTGGATCCATAGGTAACAACAGCTAGCTTGACAAATTATTTCTTTGTTATCATATTACAAGTATGATTAATAATAAGGAATTCACAACAATTTGGTTAATGTACTGCATATTCAACAGAAGAACAAAAAAAAAAAAGAAATGTGGGCTTTGGTTGTAATAAATGTAGCTACATTTATCTAGGAGTAGATATTCAGCGAAAGCTGATAGGATTCAGTGTTATGCTTATGTGGGTTAGCTTTTCATACCAGCCATACTCCAGCAATAGTCACAAAAGAAAGGCATCAGGAAGAAGACGACAGGAGACTATTTACACAAACTTCCTCTTTTTGCCACATTGAAATAATAGCAGGATTGTTTTTCTTCCTGTGATGAATATCAGGGTGTGCAAAAATGTTAAACTTCCAATATTACAGTACAGTGGGGGGAAAGTGTTTACTCAGCCATGTGCAAGTTGTCCTACTTAGAAAGATGAGAAAGTTCTGTCATCTTAATCAAAGCTACACTTCAACTATGTAATGAGATGAAAAGAGTGAAAGGAAAAACATCAGGAAATTATATCGTAGGATCTTTTGAGAATTTACTTGTAAATGATTGTGGGAAATAAGTATTTGGTCAATAATACCAAATAGAGTGGGTGGTAAGATTTCCAAAAGAGCACCCTTTTTTTGTTATCACTGGGAAATCAAAACCTTCAACTCTCTTTGCATATTTTCTATGGGGTTGAGGTCTGCAGACTGATTAAGGCCTCTCCATGGCCTTGAAATGCTTTTTTAACAGCACCTTCATTCCCTGAGCGGTGGAGCGCTGGAAGACCCATGTTCCATCAGCAATGCTCACATGATAGAAGGAGGTTTTGGCTCTTTTCTCTTGGCCATGGTTTAGGTTGGAGTTTTCGGACAGGTTGTTAATAAAGGGGAACAATTGGATGACATAATTTTTTCCTAAAGAAGTTACTGTCATGACCTTGGCGCAGATGACTTGCTTGGTCACTTATTTTTAATTCACCTGCCTAGCTCGCCCATTTCTCATTACTGTTTATCTTATCCACTTACTTCAGCCTCTATTTAACCAGCCTTTAGATCAGTCATCAGTGCTAGATTATTCAAGCCTTTTGGTGAGAGTTCTCTAGCACACCTGAGTGTTTCTGATTGCCTGATCCTGACCCGCTCTGCCTCTGGACCTCTGAGCCTGCCTGTCTGGTTGGCAGCTGACTGACTGGAACCAACCTCATCCTTTGGGCACAGATTGAACTTTAAGACCAGGTTAGTGACTCACATGTTCATTGTCATACTCCGCAAGATAAATGCAATCCCTAATCTGCTGTCTCCTCCTGCAAAGGTTCCTGCTTTAGAGGCCGACACTGCTCCCTGTAGACCCATCTTAAACATTTTGTTAAATCTAACTGTCTCACCGCCTCGAAAACTGGGTCCTTTCGTCCTTAGTTTGACAGTTACAGGTGTTTGAGGCCCACACATCTTGCTTCCTGTGAGTGACCAAATACTCATACTTAATTACTTATTACTTAATTTACAGATAGATGAACTTCTAAAAAAATACTACAATGTGATTTTCTGGATTTTTGTTTTCCCATTTAGTATCTCACAGTTGAAGAGTACCTTTGATAAAAATCATCTTTCTAAGTAGGACTACTTGATAAATCAGTTGCTGACTAAATCCTTTTTTTTTTTCCTGTGTACCAGTTTTACAGGTCATAATCTCATTAATTAGAAGCCTTTCTAAAACAATATCAATTCCTTTAAGGCAGGTTTCCTCAAATCTGGGCATTGAAGTCCATTTTCCTGCACTTTTTAAATGCGTCTCAGATTTACAAATCTAAGTTGAATAATTAGGTCATTATCAGGACTCCAGAGAACGTAACTGCATACTGAGGAGGTAATTCACCAGTTGGATTCAGTGTTGTGGGAGCAGAGACATGTAAAAGGTGCTGGACATTGGACCTTGAGGGCAGGAAACGAGAAACCCTGCTGGCATGAGAGAAATCTAAGGAGATATTTGAAGCTCATGATAATAAAGTCCTGATCTCCTCTGCTCAGGCCGAGAAACTCATCTCTGAATTAGCTTTTGCACAGGAGTTCTAGAAAGCAAAGCTATAAGGAAGTGAAGAAAAACAAAACTCTAGGCCTAGTGAATCTGTATGGTTTATGTTGCTAATCTGGTTTCAAGGAAGTAAATGAGAATTACAGTATAGGCCTACAAAGCTAAGTTCACCTAGAATCATCAGGTGATACTTTATCATTTGCAATATTCAGGCAGGTCTGGGAATGCTGTACTCTCTGTGCCATCATTTTTTTCATCTGGTGAGATGAATGAAGTTTAGCAGGAAACAAACCAAACCAGGTGACTGTTGAGGAAGTAACAGCTAAAAGATAAAAAAAAAAAAAAAAAAAATGTTTTTTTTTCTCTGTCTGTGAAATGATCTCTGATTGGGAAATTCTTGAAATACATGTGACTAATCCTGAAAGTGCATCAAGTCCTTGCAACAATTCCAGCGTCACAACACACAGATAACTCATTGTCGCCAATCAGGGGTGTGATTGTTTTATCATGGTTGTCTCCAACAAGAAAGCGTCACACATTTCTACTCACCTGGGTGTGTTTTT